ACTCAGAGTGTTTCTCTGCTTCTCTTGCCTCTGATGCACCCAGTAAGTGTTAGGCTTTTGTTTACAAAATCAGGCCATAGTTACCATTGGTTGAATGGTTAATAACTAAACCAACACTCTATAACCATATCACATTGAAACACCAGTACTCATAAGATCACCAAAGTTAAGTAACATTGAATCTGATGTCATGTACATAAAGAAATAAAAATTAATTATAGTGTCAAAAAAGTAATTATAATAAAATAATTATAATTTTTAATTCACTCATTCTAAACCAATGAGAATTGACCAGACTTTTCCCCTCTACACACACAAACACATGATATTCTCACTATTGGATAAGCAATTCACATAGGTCATCAAAACATGTGTCAATGAAAATTTCATCTCCTTTTCCTTTTTCCGGTCATAATAGTAACATTTTTCTTTTAGCGCTCAACAAAAGTTTGAGGTAAGAAAACCTCAGACACCTCTTGTATTTTCTAACTAAATTATCTGGACATTCATTACATGCATCTATAAAAAAAAAACATACAACACTTTGCTTGTTCTTTATCTTATCCTTCTGTCAGATTCTGATCCATATTTGATCTACATTTGACACCAATTTTACTCAGTATTATTGTCTCTCATGAAATTAAAGTATGCTTAAACTAAGCTCTCTAAATCAAGACAAATCTATAGGTATGACCATATCTATGAAGAAACAGATGGGTGTCACACTAGAACGATATGCTGAATTACCAAAGCTAAATCAAAGACGCAGCAAAAAAGTATGCATAGGAAAATGAAATAAAATCAATAAATAAAATAATAATAAAGAATAAAAATAAGAAATACATTTTTCCATGATGCTAAGAGTAAAGGCACTGGAAATATGATTACACCATTTGGCTTCATAAAATGTTGTTAGTGCTGCTGAAGACTTTAAAATACAAACATTCTCCTGCTTCTCTCTCTTTTTTTCCCTTATACCAAGATGTAGCACCACATGGTAATTACATTCCTACTGAGGAACATTAGTTTCCCCAGTCTACTGACAACTGCATTCTCTTGCCACTTTCCAATGTATGGCATTCACACATGTCTTCTCCAGCAGATAATTCATCTGTGGGAGTTTTATTATTTTCATCATAAATTTAGTTTACATTTTTTTTTATTCTTTGTTATCATTTTATTTATTGGTTTTATTTCATTTTCCCACAAACGCATCAAGCAGCACTTTGTATCAGGCATCACGAAGTTGCCAGTAAATTAATACTCTCGCAGAGGGGAAGAACAAGAAAAGGCAGAAGACACACATTAGTAGGTACTCTGCTAGAGGACTCAGGTACAGAGACAACACATGACTATTATGGTAGACCCTGCTAAATGGAAGAAGCATGTGGATATTATGGGGTGTCTCAACAAGTGACCTAATTAGTGACTAACAAGGAAAAGGAATTACATTCATGTATTTACATTCTTATAACCTTACTTTATTATTAGTTACTTTCATCAGATAAAGTCTTAGTTTTAATATAGAACAGAAATGTGGACTATGACCAAATCTCTGTAAAAACTGATGGGTTTTACACTTAATGGCACTTAATGTGTCCTGGAGAAGTTATGTGATGGTAGTATTTTGGGACAAATATTAGTCAATATTATGTTGTGGGAATCAACACTTTGGATAGTACATATTTACGCACTCCTGGAACATTTATCTTACAAATAATATTGGCGGAGTCCAGTAAAAATGAGTAACACAAAACAATAAATATAAAACTAATGACAATGAATATATTAACAAAAGGAATTACATGTGAAGACAGATGTAATGAAAAGAAAAAAATTAAAACAAGTTATAAGAAGAATGTACTATTTGATAGAGTTCAAGGACACATGGCACAGTGGATGAAGGCGTTTGAAAGTGGAGAACTTGGAGAGGGAAATTAACAGGAGATAACTGATAACTGACATCCATTAGACATGGCACGTGGAACTAGAACAGTCTACCCCAATGAGCAAAATAAAGGATTCAGTTTGACATTCCAACCACCTGAAGAAGACTGGAGCGTACAATTGTCGAAACATTGTAATAAATATGGCAACAGAGATGAGGACTAGTCCAAATAATGTAAATAGTGTACATAATACCTCATCTCAGAAATACAGACAGGTACTGAATGGATCACTTCAATCCAAGCCTTGATACTGAATGGATCACTTCAATCCAAGCCTTGTCCCACATTGTGTTTGATTTAGATCACAAGGCTGGCAAGGATCAGTTGTTGACAGGAATAATTGTGGGTCAAGTCCAAACAAAGTGAAGCTACAAGTCATAGGATAAATTGTAATAAAGAAAATGTTTTATATAACATTTTTTTGTACAGAGCTGGTAGTACAATCAATATCAGTTCTTTGGGTAGGAATATATGTTTTTCATGAAGGAATATATTTGTCATGCAAAGTTATGTGACCCTTTCCTCTTCGAATATTTTGTGACACTTTGTTTGTCATGACTAAGTCTAGACAAGGCTTCTGGAATACAGCTCAAAGTCGGAGGTCTTCTTCAGCAGCAGCAAGTCATGTGAGTTCAGTGAAGCGGTCTTCCCTCACCTGGTGTTTGGTGGCTTCTCCTTTTTGATCATTTTGATTCTCTGTTTATATGGACCTCTGTCCAAAACTGGCATGGAGTCTGATGTTAGTTGGGATTTCAGTGACTTCGCTAATCTTCACAGAGAGTTCTTTGTTTGACTGGGAAATTAATTGCATGCACAATTTTGGAGAGACCCCCTCCTCCAAGGAGGAGTAGTGGTAGCAGAATATTGATCCACCCTAACTCCTTCCTCCTCGTATTGGTACCTCCCACCATTACTGCCTAAGGGGAGTAGGCAAATCCTTCGCCTCCCTTGATGTTCTACCTAGGCCTTTAACTTTGGTTGTCACTTCAATCAATCTGATCTCTAGACTGCATGGGCAAGCAGGCATGGCTTAGCGCCAATTATTAATTTTAATTAACATCCAAAATTTTCATCAATGGAATTCTTTGACCTCTTCCACTTTCTCAATCAAGCATTGATCAGCTGTTCCCCTGACATCTGCTTCTTGTGGTAATTCAGTTCTTATTCAAAGAAATCTCATCTCTTCAGCAATTCACACCATCCCTTGCTTTTTTTGACAAGTGATAAAAAAACAATTCTCCAACTTTGCCTTTGTTTCCAGAAAAAGACAAACCCTCTGAATTTACTAAAATCTGGTCTTGTCTCTCAGTGTTTATCGATCTATCCTTCAACCCTTAAGGTGTCACATGTCTCTCAGTATTGCTGCTGAGTTATCCCTTCAACCCCTAGACTGTCACAAAGCCACTAAGATACAAGGGGTTACTGGGTGTGGACGAATTAGGAATAGAAGAATGAATAATGAGTGGGAAGAGAAAAAAAAGACTGATATTGCATTTAAATTTTTGCAGATTAAAGTAGGCTGGAAAGCATGGAGCCGGAAGGGAGTTCCACAAGCCAGAAAAGAAAAGAAACTGTTTGCATAGAACTTACAGTTACATCTAGACAGCTCAACTGTGAGATCCCAATTGATGAGATCTCAACACCAATCTAATACAGATTCATTTTGAGGAGAGTGAGAAAAGACCACCATAATTGTCACTATCTCTCATCTATGACAATACAAGGGTATGGCTGAGAACAGAGCATAATGTGGCCTCAGGGTTGCCTACTGGAAATACATGTAGCTAGCTATGCATGACATGGTACTACAAATATTATGCAACTGTAGATCAGAGCAGCCTCTCCATGCTTCCAAAGAGTTTGGGCTCCTAACGACCAGTTGGAAGCAGCAGTCAGTAAACTATCAACCTAGTACTCTCACAATGGGAGATCCCAGCCACTGGTTAGTCTAATCACCAAAAAATTAAGACAGTTAAATCATTGTGGCCCTGGTAGAAGAAAGAAAGAAAGTACTGGTAAATCATATCCTGAACAGGGAACAAGGATGAACTTTTACACGTGTTCCATAGACATGGAAAGAATGCAAACTGGATGATAGGTGAGCCTATCTATGCCTATTAACCTGTAAAAAAAAAAGAACATAAAATACAAGAGAACTCATTATGACTTAGTATAAGTTCTGATGTCCACTACAAACTAAAATATCTATTTATAGACTTGAAGAGCGCCCCCTAGCAGGCATTTTGGCACAGTCAAGAGGGATAACCCACAAAGTCAAATATAAAATACTGAACTATATGGTGAGCTACAAAAAGTAATGTCAGAGGTACAGCAAAGCAGAATCTGTCTAACAGGACCCTGTATTAGGCATGATGATGATGTTGCCAGCAAACTATTATTCTGTCAGCCAATTGAGGGAAAAACAACCCTAGAGGAATCAGTGATGGAGACAATACAAGATGAAGACTATCAGATTATGCTGAATGGAAAAAACATGTGGATGCTATGGGGTGTCTCAATGGATGACGACATTAGTAAATGCAACCATATGACAGGTATCTCTATATAGTGTATTTCACTACACATGCTTCTATTACAAACTGCTGAAAATTTTATGGTTTTCCTGTTTTTAATTTTCTGAAGAGTCATAAATCTTAATTTAATGATTGAATATATTCCTTGCAATTCCCATGATGACAAAATACCCTTGAAGATTCCCCTATTACATCATTACATATTTCAGCTTAACAACATTAAGAAAATAGAGAAATAATTATTATTTTATATCCTATTTTTGTCAATTCTCTCTTTGTATCCTGATTACCACCTAAAGTATTTCAATAATGAAGGAATCAATGAAACTTGAATAATATTGAAGATACATTAAATATATAAAATTATAAAAGACAAAAATAATATATGTCCATTTTATCATTACAGTTTTTTTCTTTCTGCTCTCTTCCATTCTTTCTATTTCTCTCCATTTTCTTCCTTATTTCCATTTCACCCAAGCAGATGTTAAGCACCTAATAGAATTAATGCTTTCTCCAGCTTCCCTTTCTTTCTTTCTTTCTTTCTTTCTTTCTTTCTTTCTTTCCATTTCACCCAAGCAGATGTTAAGCACCTAATAGAATTAATGTTTTCTCCAGCTTCCCTTTCTTTCTTTCTTTCTTTCTTTCTTTCTTTCTTTCTTTCTTTTTCTTTCTTTCTGCTTCCTTATTTCCATTTCACCCAAGCAGATGTTAAGCACCTAATAGAATAATGCTTTCTCCAGCTTCCCTTTCTTTCTTTCTTTCTTTCTTTCTTTCTTTCTTTCTTTCTTTCTTTCTTTCTTTCTTTCCATTTCACCCAAGCAGATGTTAAGCACCTAATAGAATTAATGTTTTCTCCAGCTTCCCTTTCTTTCTTTCTTTCTTTCTTTCTTTCTTTCTTTCTTTCTTTCTGCTTCCTTATTTCCATTTCACCCAAGCAGATGTTAAGCACCTAATAGAATAAATGCTTTCTCCAGCTTCCCTTTCTTTCTTTCTTTCTTTCTTTCTTTCTTTCTTTCTTTCTTTCTTTCTTTCCATTTCACCCAAGCAGATGTTAAGCACCTAATAGAATTAATGTTTTTCTCCAGCTTCCCTTTCTTTCTTTCTTTCTTTCTTTTCTTTCTTTCTTTCTTTCTTTTCTTTCTTTCTTTCTGCTTCCTTATTTCCATTTCACCCAAGCAGATGTTAAGCACCTAATAGAATTAATGCTTTCTCCAGCTTCCCTTTCTTTCTTTTTTTCTTTCTTTCTTTCTTTCTTTCTTTCTTTCTTTCTTTCTTTCCATTTCACCCAAGCAGATGTTAAGCACCTAATAGAATTAATGTTTTCCCTTTCTTTCCATTTCCATTTCACCCAAGCAGATGTTAAGCACCTAATAGAATTAATGCTTTCTCCAGCTTTTTTCTTTCTTTCTTTCTTTCTTTCTTTCTTTCTTTCTTTCTTTCTTTTATTTCCATTTCACCCAAGCAGATTTAAGCACCTTTAATGCTTTCTTTTTTTCTTTCTTTCTTTCTTTTCTTTTTTCTTTCTTTCTTTCTTTTTTTCTTATTTCCATTTCATTTATAATCCCCCATTCCTGACAGATTCTTTCTTCTTTTTCCATTCTTTCACTAATCTCCATCTCTTTCATTGCTAGATGTGATTGCATGTGAACCAGTGTTTCAACATGATGTGGCCATAATCCACAGGGACTGGAAGAGATAATGCAAAGACAAAATTTATTAACAGCTGCAAAGGATAGGACATTGTGGAGAACCAAAATCATCCACAACCTGAAAAGGCACAGCACATATTAATTTATTAAGCTTAGCTTAGTCTGCCACAAGGCCACAAATGTGGAGCACCCAGTGACTATCATGCTTATTGATGTACTAATGTTCTGTAAGACAAGTTTAATAAATGCTACTTGGTAAGACATTCTACCCAAAGAATTTACAAATGAATTAACTTGGAGAACACGTAAGGGTTAATTGAGCTTTTAAAAGTGTTTTCACTTATTTTATTATAAATTGAATTACAGGAATAAGTGCAAGTTGGAGGCTCTTTGTCCACATTTGCAAGGAGGAAGTTAAATGTTATATTCTTAATTACTTTGCTTATGTGCACATCAATGGGGGGAAAAGGACAGAAAGGAATTGATAGAATAGTGTTCATCTCTGGTGATGGCTACGTGGTCAATACAAGCTGATTATTAATTTCAGTGTAATTGTTCTTTTCATTTTCGTGAAGTACCTTCTGGCTTCTTTGAATTTGGTTGTTTTAATTTGATAGCAATTAGGATGTTAGATTAACTGCTGAGTGAAATTAGTTTACAATTCATCATTATTATTCACAAATAAAATAATTATAATTATTTACAAAAATCATTATAATGATTCAAAACTAAAAATTATTATAATTATTTGCAAATAAAATTATTATAATTATTCACAAATAAAAATATTTGCAAATAAAATTTCTGTTATACCAAGAGTTATATAAATCAGATTAACCTCACAACTCTCACATTTTATTCTTTTTCATTGTGAAGATAATTTTTCCTTAATATAGCACCCACCATGGCTTGACTGGCACTGCAAGACTACAATGACATTCAATGTTCTACTGCTCTGAGATCAAGAACAAAATGTGGGCAGAGATGGTGTGGATTGAAATGGTTAGCAACCAACAACCATCTTGAACCGGCATCAGCATTGACCAGTGCAGAGTTAGCCTGTGGTTAAAGTGTTGTCCTAAGACCCTGAGGACCAGGCTACTAAGCATGGTAGCACCGCTGGGTGTAGGTGGTGGCAAAAGGTGTTACATTATTTGGTGCCAATATGAACCTGTTGCAAAATGGGCGGTGGGGGGGGTTACATTTAGATTACAGCATTAAGTAACCTATAGAGGTGTTGATATGCCACTAAACAAAACCAATCAATCAATTATATACAGTATAATGATCTTAGCCATGAAGGTTAGAACTGGTGGAACTAAAGAATTTAGTTAATCTGAAACTTTCCATGGAAATAGCAATTTAAATATAAATCAGTTTACATCTTTCAGTAGCACTGATAAGCGTATTTTTTAGCCTACCTCGTGGTTAAGAGAGTTGGCCATTTACAACTATAATCAGGCACCAGTGTTCAATCCCAATATATAAAAAAAAAAATTACACAATGGAATGACAAAATGGAAGATATTTTGTGTAATGTATTTTATCCTTGAGAAGGACTTCATCAAACTCAGATAATGTTTTTATTGATAGAATTATATATATGTAGGAGGCAGGGAGTGTAAATGCAAGTGTTGTTTATAATTACATAACAAAGGAAAATGTTGAAGATGTGAAAATGCTAAATTTAAAATTTTTAATGTTCAAATAGGATCTTGATCAATAAAATAAGTGACAGCACTTCACCAAACAACGAAAAAATTCACCCTGAGGAAAAATTTCAATAAACTTAAATAATGCTTAAAGGTTAAATCCACTTAGGCAGGAAGGGAGACAAACTATTGCCACTGCTTAAAGCACATTATTAAGCTGAGGAGTGGGAGTCTAAAATCTTCAGAAATTTGTGAGCCAAGGATGGTGAGTTCAATCCTAGGTAGGACCACAAGAGATAGCATAGTTAACAGCTCTCCCCTTTTTCACTTTTCATGTAGGCCATAGTGACAGCTTATTTAGCACACACATCTTAATTTACTTATTTTTCTTTCTTTCTTTTAAAAAAAAAGGAAGAGAAATTCTAGGCTGACATACATGATCCAGAATCTTGTTAAAGGAGACACTTCTTATTTTATTAAGTGTCTGGATACATAATCTAGCTGATCTAAAGTTAAGGAATGCCTCAAGCTGATCTCATTCGTTTTACCTATTTACCGTAAATGATTTGTCAGTCAGTACACATTCTAGACATATTTGCCATATTTTGCTTTCTTTTTTAATTAATGTAGCATTTTTTTAAATCAAAATTATAGTCAGATTCATTATGGTCAGTGGCTAATGCATTAAATGTGTTGTTTGGTAGACAATCTCTTTTATGTTCATATAATCTTTTATTTAAATTTCTCAAGGTCTCTCATATGTTTTTCTTGTGAATTTTCTCAGGAGCAAGTCACGTGGGGTTCAACAGTTCCTTCATTGGCTGTCTTGTCTCATCTGCATCTCTTGCCATCTCTTGCTTCAACTGCTGGGTCACTTAAGCAATGCGTTTATATGTATTTTTCTTGACTCCCAAAGCACCTCAGAACACATCAATATTCATATCAATTATTTTCTCCAATTTTGGAGAAACGACATTGTCCTTCAACCAAAGCGGTCAGTTATTCAAAACAATACATTCTTCGACAACAAACATTCTTTATCATTCCTTTCTATCTCCTGACAACAATTGGCCTGTGATCAGTTACTTATTCAAAACAATAATTTTTCCAATAACAAACTTTGTGTTTATACATTATTTCTATGTCCTTGTTATTAAAGAATTTTCTTTGTTGTCAAATTTACAATATGACTAATTAAAATCTTTGCCCACTTTGCACATTTACAAAATCTTATTCCAGTTTGTTTACATTATTGGCTTTATGATTTATAACAATCTCATCTGCCTCTCAACCAACAAGCTATCCACATTCCACATTTCTCAAATCATATTTTAGACCCGATATTCCATTCTGTGTTTCTATTTATCAGAAAAAAGGAAAACATTTCTCTTTTCTTCCTTACTCCATACTTCAACTCATATTTTCACCTTAACGTTTTTAACCCTTCCAATTCATCAAATCTTATATGGGGTTTTCACGTGAACCCTTTTAATGCTTTTCATACCACTAGTGTCACAATAGTGCTTCCTTTAACCCTTTCAACTACAACCAGTGACATTTTATAGTGTAACATTCCTCTCCTTCCTATTTCTGTCATTTACTTGTAAATGACCCCACCTCACCCCTCATAATAATGAAAACAGCAAGGGTTCTTCATGCATCATTTTTCCACTAAACATGCAGTGGAATTAAAAAGTCTTTATTCTTCTTTTCCATTCTATGAGTATGCACATTCACATTGGGGTTCACATCACCCCTTACAATTTAATCTTTTGACCAGTTTTTATAGTTGGTTTTCTTTGTTGACTTTCCTCTCTCCACAATAGAAGGTTTTGGTTTTTCCTCGACAGGTTATATTTCTGCTTTCAGTTGTTCTGCTGAATTCAACCAGGTTTCCTCCTCATCTGGATTCAGTCTGCTTGGGTAAAGAACACTAAATAGCATTTCATTCTTGATTTGATGCAAGTGTGACGGTTACACACCTGGCCCAGTGTCGGATCCTTTGGTTACGGCGCCAACGGTGACGTCGCTCCTCCTGGTCGCTCCTCCTGGGTCCAAGCGTGCCGCTCAACCCTTTGGTCAGATGATCACCAGCCTCGCCTTTCCCGACTAAGCTTCCAATACCTGGTCACTAAAGCAACTATACCGATCTCCGGTCTGTCTACCCACGCTGTGTTTAGATCTTAGACAGACGGGACCAGCAGGATCGGGGCCGATACAAGTTGAGTCCGACGGGGGTGGCAAAACACAAATAAAATAAAAAACTCACGACACCAAACAAAATTGCTGATAAAAAGGGTAACAACCTTTTATATCTTAAAGTCCGTTACATAAAACAAAAGTGTTCTCATTTCCCGACCCGCTCTGTGGACTATGGCACCAAGCTTCTATCACACAATAGAAAATGTCGAATTACCTACTTTCTAGAATCATGTATATATAGTGTCGTGGAGTGTGGTTCAGTTCGACACTGGGGCTAATTTCTATCGATCATTCGCCCAGTTGATTCTTCTCTCCGACTTGAGTTGTATTTCTTCTTCTTTGTCTGCTTGGGCTGGTAGTTTTCCTGTTTCAACTTGGTGGAAGATTTCTTGTTTCAACTTAGCCACAACTCTCTGTCGTCTGAGGTGGTCTCTTCTCACTGCCGTCCGGAGCTGAACTTTAACTTCTCATCGACTTTCGGCTTGTCTGCAGCTCCAATTCTTCTCAGGCTTTCAGGCAATCTTCTTCTTCGTCTACTTGGGCTGGAAGTTCTCCTGTCTTCGACTTGGGCTGGAAGGATTTCTTGTCTGAGGATTCTTCTGCCCGCAAAGGGGCGAGTGAATCGGGCCTGATGGCGCGTTCAGGCTCTATCCCTGCCCGCCGGTCCAACTCTCAACTGCAACTCAACTCAACTGATTTCTGTCGACTGGGGTCCTGCTTATATTGACGCCACAACAAACTGGGGTGGGTCTGTCGGCGTCAGGTTTTTCGATAATTCCAAAAACTGCATTAATTCTGTCTTCTCCATTATCGCTATTGTTTTCACCTCTACTTCCTCATAGTACCTTTGGTGGGGCGGCGCACATCCATCTCTCTTAGTCTCTCGTATGTCAGGTGACCGCTTTTCAACCAATCGTTCCTGATCGAGCATTTCTTTCCTTTTCTTCCGCCCAGGTCACGTGATCGTATTCGACCAAT